CCAGCTGGGACCAAGCCCCTAACACAGTGTTAAGCTCATAATGCACACCTGAAAAATATATGTCGAATGAATAAATGACCCTAATGATTCTCCTAAGGTAGTGAAATGTCAAAGGTATGTTCTGAGCCTTAATGGAGCAAGTAAATCATATCCATGATAACCTGACTCTCTGCAGGGGAGTGGATTCTGATTCTGATTCTGATCCTGATTCTGATTCTGATTCCTTGAACATCGCATGGGTAGTAGCTGGCCGTTAGCCAGAATGTTTGAGCAGTCAGGATACCCTACTTTTCTTAAGATGCTGAGTAACAGAAATTTGCCTATTTCTTTGATTCCTTAATTGCATACAAAATAACATTCCCAACTTTTGATTATGACCAGTCTTTTTTTTTTTTTTTTTTTAATTTTTTTCCCACTGAATGTTAGGTCTCATTGTCCACGAAGGAGCTGCAGTTTACAGAGTGTTTAAGCGCTGGCGGGCTGTTAACTTACACTGGGATGTATTAAATTATGACAAAGCCACAGACATCGAAGAAAGCAGTCGGGGTGAGTCTTCCACAAGCAGGACTTTGTGGCTGCCGTTGACGGCCCTGCGGAACAGGAACTTGGTCCACCCAACGCAGCTGACCTCCCCACGGTTTCAGTGCGGCTACGTGTTGTTGCACCTGTTCAATCGGATGAGGCCCCACGAAGATCTGTCGGAAGATAACAGCTCAGGCGAGGTGGTGATGAGAGTGACGTCGGTGTGACGGAAGCACGTGACGGTGCGGCGTGGACCATCCTGCGTATCGTGGAATGTAATTGCAATGAATGGCAAAACCATAACACTTCTAAAAACACACACATCTATGAACTTTTTAAAATTTATGCTTTTTATATGAACATTTGAATTGCAAATACATTTTTCTGAAAAAAAAAGAGTCCTCTTGTTTTTTGCTTTCTGATTTATTATCACATCTTTTATAAGTTGGTACTTGAAATCATTATATGTGTAATTTAACTCTACTTGGTTAAAAGAATGATGAAAGTTATCCTTAAGGCCAAAACTATTTTTTCTTGCTTGTTTTAAATATATTTTTATCAAACTTTGTGCTCCATGTGTAATTTTTCAGACATGCTACACGAATGTGGAAAACATCAGAATGCTGTGGGCAGGTTCCAAAGTGCCCATCGGCCGTGCAGCCCAGGGCCGCTCGCACAGTCCTCTGCACTGGACCTCCTCGTGCCTCGTGCTGGTTGGCAAACTTGACTATGAAATGTTATTATTATTTTTTTTTTGCTAGGTTGAAATAACCCGTCCCCTGGAATGCAAATTCTAGGAATTAAGGCTTGTTTTCTAAACTTCGGAAACGGTACCGAGAGCTTATAAAAAGACAGAAGGTGAGCAGAATAAAATAGTTTTACTCTAGTATATGTTACCCAGGCAGGGCATCCTACATACTTGTAACCCTGAAACGTCACCATGATGTAGCCTCCTAGCACGTGTGATAATAATACTGCCTCTTATTTGCATAACCCGCTCACAGACCTATCACAGTTATTTTGGTTAATTATTAGCATCTTGATTTCTATGAGCACCATCTTCCTTAGATTTTCTTCTTGCGAAAGCTTCTATACCTACTTAATCATTTCAACACTGACCCTATTACGTGGTTTAATGAAGTCCTGGGGAAATAGATTCAGCAGTAGTGAGAAGTGTTTCTCGTTCACTAGATAAGTTTTCTTTTTCTTTTTTTTTTTTAATGAAAAGAGGAGAAGAAAAATGAGGCTATTGACTCCCCAGGAACAGGTTGCTAACTGGCGGTACCTGGAAGTTTTCCACCTTTTTATCCTCCTCATGGAGGTAAATGGCACATTTTAACGGGGAATGAGAATAGACGAGGAGACGAGCAGTCATGCTTTCCATTGAAACAGGAGTTGAACCTGTAGGTCATTTGAAGTAATTGATCAAAGTTTAAAGCCTATGAAACAAAATGCTTTATATTCCACTTTCTAAAAATAATCTTTGATCAATCATTTAGCATTGTCATTCCTACATAGCAAATTCTACTGACACTTGAAATAACATTTTTTCAGTTAAAAAACTCACAAATGAGTTAAGTAAGGATGTGACAATTTGCAGAAATGTGAATGAATCAGCAAGTCACAAAAGAAGGAAAATTCAGCCACTATTTAGGGGCAGGCACATATAGAACGTGAGAGTGTTAAACATCCTCACTCAAACGTTTTTTGTATTAATCTGACATTGCAGGAGCGCAGCCCTGGGTGAGGGACTGAGAGGTACAGGTTGGCCCTGTAAAGCTGGTCTCCATTCCTCAGAATCTTGCCACCTGGGACAGGAAAGCAGATTATTTAACAGAGACGCCATGGATACAAATCTGCTGTTAAAGCAACAATCTATTATTCGTACCCTGCAGGTGTTAATGCTTGTCCTAGACAGTTTAATCACTAACGGCAACCATGTTTAATAGAGAATAAGTGTGGGTACTGTTGCTTAGAGAATTGTATTAAAAATACTCGACAGAGATTTTAGACTATCGAGATTAGACTATCACTGCTCCAGTATTTAGCAAGCCCGCCCTTCTAATGAGTGTACACTTTGAATTCACACCAACTCAGTGGAAAACAAAAAGAGGCAGTAGGTGAGAACCCCCACCCCACCCCTGTGATGTCAATGTGGGGTGCATGAGGTACGAGTGTCTGGAGATGAGAGCGCACAGTGGATATGTCAACCTGAAGGGAATGTGCACCCCTAGACACCCCTCTTTCCAGCACCTTGTCCTTTGGATGGACCTTTTGTCTATACCTACTATTTCCCTCACCTTCTTCACCACCCCACCACCTAACACACGCCCACACACTCAACACACCCACAAATGACCCGTATCGATGTTGGAATAAGGATCTGGCAGAATTTCCACTCGACGAAATGTACCATCCATAAAATGATTACATAAAAACTCAGACGCTCTGGGGGAGGAGCTGTGCATTTAGAGAGTTAAATGCACTGCTTGAAAATTAAAAATTTAATATGCAGTGTAAGTTCTGATATAAATGGGTTTCAGTCATGAATGCTGTAATTCAAACTGGACTGCCTTAAAATTTAAAAACATTTATGGTAAGGAAATGTTGGAAATATTTTTAATTATTTAAAAAATCTTTTCCCATATATAAACAGACCTATGTGCAGTCTGTCTTTTTTGACCACTGATCTGCAGCACAAATGTTTATGGAGCACTCTCTGCGAGTCAGGCACTCTTAGCAGTGGGCCCCGGAATGACCTAGACTCATACGGAGACAGTGCGTAGGGACTTGTGGCACCGCGTGGTACGTATTGGGATACAGGTGAACTATGGAAAGTAGCAGTCAGTTTTCCGTGGGGCATGCTGGAGAAGGCATCGACGAGGGGCTGGCAGGACTCTGGTCTTGAAACAAGTAGAATTTTGCCAGACAAGTCGAGAAGAACATTCTAGAAACAGCTAGGAGGCGAAAGAGAGGCATGTTCCAATAATGGTGAGAGAGTTCGCAGGTGTGAGCATAGGATACATGTGAAGACGTGATCTAACATGGGGGTGGCTAGGTAGCTAGGATTGAAATCTGTGGAACAGTGAGAAGATGGTGCCCCAGCAGCTGGGGTAAGAGTCAGCAAGGTCACCTCAGGGATTGGGGTCCTCTCTCAACCCCATACCCATGGGTGACACTCTCAGTTCCCAAAGTCAGCAGTAAAATGCAATCAGTGGTGATCTTAGCCTCAGAAGAGTTTGGAGCGATCCTACAAACTGAACTAGCAGGCAGTAGTCACACACAGGTGCTGCTGATATAAATGAGATGATACAATAGAAACTTTGGGGCATTAAAGGGGTTTTCCTCGCCCCTCCTGGAAGATGGCAAAACCCATAATTCTGAAGCGGAAAGGGCATCAGAGCTCCTGTGAGGTAGAAAATAGTTTCTCTACTATTGAAAGCACCTCTAAACACTTCCCTGAATAAAGTTTATCATCTGAGTTTTCTTAAATGTTTTTAAAAATTTTATTTCCCATTAACTAAAAATATCCCAAAATATAACAAGCTCTCTCTGTTGCTTCTGTTTCTGTCTGGGATTGCTTTAAAAAAATTTTTTTCCCCATAGGTTAGCAATATTAATGTAGTTTCTTATTTTTGATCATGTGTTAATGCTCAATTCTCCCTTATCTATGGAGTTAAACAGTAAAATTAATTTGTGTTTGCTAATCCATAATTAGATTAGCTGTCATCTAGCAATCGATGTGTCATTTTAAATGAATAATGCTTTGTCCATATTTTCCTTTATAGTTTATTGGTTTGACTTACAAATTTTAATCATGGTTGGTTATTGATTTTCAATATATTTTCAATATATAGATGACAACATACAAAAATAATTTGATGTTAAACTTATTAAGAAGTAGTTGGTTAAGAATATACATTAGGCAATTACTTTGATCCTAGTTTATCAGTTCAGAAAAAAAATGTTCCCATCGTGTGTGAGATACAGAATTACAGCAGGTGCTATAATTTATAGCAAAGCTCAAAGTCCTGGGTCCCGTGGAACATGGAGATTAACTCATTACCTTCATAAAGATGCCATTTTACACGCAGTGGATTTATCTGGCAAAGTAGTCAAAGACTTCAAAGTTACTTTAAGAGATTCGCCACCTAGGAAATAAAAGACCCTGGGAGCCACTAGGAGAATGAAAACAATGCACAACTTCTTGTAAAATTTTGTTGGTGTGTTTTTTAAAAAATACTTCATAAACTTCACCCCAAAACATTTTATATTGATTTTCCAGAACAAGTTAGCGGTCACTTAATTTTCTCATAACTTTTTAATATTTTTTTGAGATGTTTTATATGTGAAACATGGCTTTTCAGGGGGAAATTATCTTTTTCTAGTGTTACAAGTAGAAAAAAGGGTTTTTTCGAAGCTGCACAGGGAATGGAGCCTAATGTACACAGGTGGATGATGGTGACCTGAGCATTTAAAACTCCTGCTTCGTGAAGTCATCGAGCAGAAATATTCATTCCAAATGCTGGACCACAGAATGAACATCAATTACTCTTGTCACTGCATATCTAGAATTGGTCTAATAGCTTTTGAATAACCAATTTTTTATTATATCAGCTTCCTAGGGACTCCTCTAGGCAAAACGCTTGCGCAATTAGTGTGTAAATGTCTGTTGTATCGTATTGGTGATCAACAGAATCAAATAAAATTAGTTCTTTAATTATATAGAGTTCTTCTCACCTGGAGAAAGAGTGAAGGTCTAGAAATAGTTAAGTTGAAAGGTCCAATGTCAAATAAAAAGAAGCACTTGATCAGAAGGAGTTGGCTAGAGAGTCCTTCGATGTGAAGTAATTTCTCAGAATGTCAGCTTAACGAACACTGGATGGACTAGGAGAAAGTGTTTAAATGCCTTTTACCTAAACCTTTCGAACTCATAATGCGTATGTCAGAAGTTTGGATTTGGCCATTGTAGCTCACTGAGACCATGCTTCAAATAAACCTCATTAACTCAAGTTAGATTTCCACAGCCTCATTCTTTCGGCTGGCTTTTGGCCGAGTTTGAACACTCCCCATTTCCTGGCTTTTAATGGAACCATAAGGAAAAAAGGCTATAATTCTATAATTCTATTTCTCGTGTCCCAGATGCATCTGGAGATGCTCCATCACCTAGACCCAGTGCCTACAGAAGAGGGATGTGTTGGATGGGCGGAGGGTTGAGCAAAGGGAAGTAGCCAGAAAGAAGGACCAGAAGCTGTGTTACTTCATGTCTCGATGTTCCTTACTAAGTACCTTTCGGCCTGGCCTCCTCTCTGAGAGAGATTGTATAGTTCACGAGAAGGAAGGTGTTGAGACACAAGATCATGAAACTCACAACTGGTTAGTTCTTGT